GTCCACCTGGGTGGCGGCCGTCTTCTGGGCCACCCTGAAGTCGCCCGCTCTGGTTCATCGATCGGCCGCAGTTTTCGATGATGCCCTCGACCCTCTTGCGGCGGGGCTTCCTCTCCAGAGACGCGATCGCGGTCTTCCACGAGTTCGAGTTCCAGCGCTGAGCGATCAGAAGGTCACCCACGCGCGAGTGGGTCACAGCGGCGAGGCGCCTATCGCAGTGGAAGTAGAAGAAGCCAATCTCAAGCTCGCTCTCGATCAGGCTGTGCTCGCGGAACACTTTCTGAACATAGAAGCACCACTGTCGCCCTGCATCCCGCGTGCCGTAGATGGCTCCGGCGGCCGCCGCGAACTCGCCACGCTGCACGCTGGGCGGCGGGTCCTTGGCCGACACCCGCAGGGGCAGCACTCTCTACGTTGCCCGACTGCAGGAAGTCAAGCCGCCATGGCGTCACACGGAGGCCAGGCCCCATCCAGCTCGGGCAGCAGCTGCCTGCGCGAGGCACAAGGCGTCGCGGGGAACCCGTCGGCGCGCCCGCCCTGGTCTGCGACATGTCCCCCAGGCAACCCTGGACGACGAGACTCGCCTTCGCGAGGCCCTGGCCTGCTGGCGGGCACCCAGCGCGCGCCCACTGGCCGCGCGCCAGGGCGTCGGCGCAGGAGCTCTCGAACCTCCTTGCTGGGCAGCCCATAATAAGCGCCGAACGCAGTCCACCTGGATCACTCGAGCATCATGGCCGTGTCCATGAGCTTATTCTTCGTCTCGGTGCTCAGGTTGTCGAAGCAAAGCTCCTCGGTCGTGGCCATACCTGTCAGCAGCGCCACGCGAAGCTGCATTCGAGCCACCAACTCCCCGTCGCGGCTCGGCCCCTCGAAGTGGTCGCCGAGGTAGAGGTCGACGCGGGCGGCGCCCATCGGCCGCCTGAACCCGCGCGGCAAGTCGTTGAGCAGAGACTTTCCCATGGCCAGCTGGTCAGCGCGATCGCGCTGGAGAGCGTCGGCTGCCCCCTCTGAAAGTCTCTGACGTTGCGCTGTGGCCCCTCGCTGCTCGCCCGCGGCATGGGGTCTCCAAGCGGCAGCTTCTCGACGGTGCTCGGCGGTGTCGATCTCCTCCGCAATATTTGCCAATTGCAGGAGCAACCGGGATGAAGCGTCGGACTCTGCATGTGCTCCTGGCGCGCCCTGGCGGCCTGCAGGCGCTGCAGATGCCCCCTAGGGTGGCCGAGGCTGTTCTGGTTCAGGTCGGGCTTGCGGCGACGGCGCTTCGGCTGCTTGCGGTGGCACCTCAGCTGGTTGCGATGGCGCTTCAGCTGCTTGCGCATCAGCCCATTGCGCATCGCCATCGTGGGGGGCGGGCACTGCCGGCTCAGGCGGCGGCGCAGGTCGCGCCCGCGCGCGGCCTCCAAACGAGGTGGCTGATGCCAACCCGCTGCCGGCAGCTCCTCCACTCGTCGCATGTTCGTTATCTGTTTGACGTCTTCTCATCCACTCGGCAAACTCGCGCGCTTCTCTGTCGCGGGGCGCGTCCTCGGGCGCGCCCTCGAAGTTGCCGAAGTTGTGGGCGACGATGGCAAGAGGTGCTTATGGCACGGCGGGCGCTGCATTGCCCGGAAGCGATCGCTTCGCACCTGGACCAGTCAGATCCATGAGGGCGTCGTCACCAGGCGCGTCTGGCTGAGCGCCTGCAACACCTCCCCCACCTCGTTCAGAACCTGGAGTGGCACCAGCAGTCGGTGGATCGTTTGGCGGGCCTGATGAGGACCGCCTGGCGGCGCTGGCGGTTGGCCTGCAACGGGCGCGCTGCTGGAGCTGAGTGCTGACAGCACTCGGCCCCACGGGCGAACTACGTGGCCGTCGCGTGGCGGAGGTGGCCACGGCTGACCTTCACTGTCGTCGACCTTTGGCTGACCCACACGGTCGAGGTCCCCAGGCCATGCCACTGCAGAGTCCACTCTCGCTTGGAACACCCATTCCCTCTACAATGAAAACACATGGTCGCCCGTCTTGTAGACGTCTGACGCGCGCCCGGCGCCATCTGCTCCTGAGTGGGCAAGCGGTGCACGGGAGAGGGACTGGTTGAACCGCAGATGCTGGATGGCGCCCTGGGCGGCCATCACGATCGCAATCCTTCCAGAAAAGTACTTGTCGACCACCGCGCGATCACGCAAGGAAAAGCGCCAGGCGTTGTCCATCAGGCAGTAGGACAGTCGCAGTCCACGTCCGAGGACCCACTGAACAGGCGAATACCCGATGGCATTGACTGAGCTGTTCATGGCCCAGCAGTGCAGCACACGGATGCAGGCAGCCACTGGTTCTTGTCGGCGTTTTCGGACTGGTCAAACCTGATGCTGAACTGGTCGATCAGCTTTTGGGCATGGATCTTCCACAGGCCTCCACGTCTGTCCACGGTGGCGTTCTGCTGCGGCGCAGCTGCCGCGGCAGCCACATGTCCTCGAGCTCCTTCGAGAACTCGCGCTCGAACTCTCCTCCTCCATCGAATAGCACTCGCTGAGGAGCGCCAATTGGCGCGATCCACAGCTGGAGCAGTCGAGCGAAAACGACCGTCGCACGCCTTGATTCCACAGTCCCACACATAGTAAAACCTGAGGCCAGGTCCATCACATTCAGGAAGATCAGCCGGCGGCCGGCGCAGTCGGCGAGGGTGAATCGGTCAACAACGACGGGGTCGTTGAAATCGCCATCTAACGTGACGCGACCTGGCGGGCGGGGCAGCGGTCGCTGATGCGCGGCACAAACTTCACATTGAGGATCAGAGCCATCTCGACCGAACGCTGAGATCCACCATCTCGATCATCATCATCATCGTCATCATCATCATCATCATCATCATCAGCATCATCGTCATCGTCATCGTCATCATCAGCATCAGCATCAGCATCAGCATCCACATCATCATCACCATCACCATCACCATCATCATCATCATCACCACCACCACCACAATCATCATCATCATCATCATCATCATCATCATCATCATCATCATCATCATCATCATCATCGTCATCGTCATCAGCAGCAGCATCAGCATCAGCATCAGCATCATCATCATCATCATCAAAATCATCATCATCATCAGCAGCATCATCATCATCGTCATCATCAGCATCATCATAGTCATCATCAGCATCAGCATCACCACCACCACCACCACCATCACCATCATCAGCATCACCATCATCATCATCATCACCATCATCATCATCATCATCATCATCATCATCATCATCATCATCATCATCCTTCTCCTCCTCCTCCACATCATCCTCATGCTCATCATTATCATCCTGGGAGTCTGCGAGGAGGCGGCGGTGGCCCCCCATCCGCCTCGGAGGGGGACTCTGGAGTCCGCGGCAGGTGCGCGTCCGGCTTCTGCTGCCGCGGGGAGCCCGCCGGGCCGAAGGCTGGCTGCGAAGCCAGGTGCAGCGCCAGCTTGACGAGCATCTGCTGGTGGAACTCGTCCTCTGAGGGAGGATGGACCCAGACATGTTTTCGTCGGCGGCGAGGCAGCGAAGCTACTCCAGCGGGTGGCGATTCGGGGCGACCGAAAGGCGAATTGGCCGGCGTGCAAGAAAGGAAAAAGGGCAAGGGCGGCCGCGCGGAGGACCGGAGGAGGCTCAGACGCGGAAGGCTTCAGGATGGACCCCGACGTGCGACGGGAGAGTGCTGACCATGTTCGGCCTACGGGGGCCCTCGCCGGACCCGGGGGCCGTCAAAAAACGACTCGGGATAAAAGGCGGGCCCCGAGGGAAAAGGTTGGGACTTCTGGGGACCCCGTATTGACAAAGTAAAAGCGTCGCGTGTCTCGGGAGTAACCCTCAACTGTGGGCGACGCAAAAGGAAGTATCGTGGCGACCCGTTTTTTCGTAGTCTCCAGCCTCTGGAGGCCGTCTCCCAGCTTTCAGACCATCGAGAAACGAATCAGGATGGGAATCCAGTCATGGGGAAGTGGTCGAACCCCCAGGTGCCGACGCCACGACAAAAATGCAACGTCGGAGGAGAGAGTATGGAGGACTAGAGAGACTGAAGCAATGAAGGCATGTAGGGATGGAGAGAAAGCGGTACGAAGGTATGGTGGGAAGGAGGGCTGGAGGATGGAGGATGGAGGTTGGAGGGTTGGAGGGTTGCAGAGATGAAGACATGGAGGGATGGAGAGATGGTGGGATGGAAGGGTGAAGGATAGAGGGTGGAGGGTGGAGGGATGGAGGGATGGAGGGATGCAGGGATGGAGGGATGGTGGAGCGGAGAGTGGAGTGCCAGCTTGACGAGCATCTGCTCGTGGAACTCGACCTTTCGGCTCCTCCTCCTCCTCCTCCTCCTCCTCCTCCTCCTCCTCCTCCTCCTCCTCCTCCTGGCCCCCCCCCCTCGACCCTTCAACCTCCTCCTCCTCCTCCTCCTCATCCTCCACCTCCTTCGCCTCCTCCTCCCCCTAGCAGCACATCCCGCTTGCTGGAAGGGCCGGATTGGGCACCCTTCTCGCCGCAGTCCCGATCAGCCCTGGAGGGGGGAGACTCGTGCCGTGCCACAGGCGGCGCGCTCTCCCTGGAGAAGGGCGCTGAGACGCTGGCTGACCTGAGGTGCATCTTACGGTACGTCAGATTCGCGTCATGCCGACTTCGGCGTTGGTTTCTGACACCGCGGGGATCGTTCAACCTTGAACGATCGGCCGTTTCCGAAACGTCCAAATCGTTCCACATCGAACGATTCTGGGTCGCCCGCGGCGTTCAAAGTTGAACGCCGCTGGCGGGGTCGCCGCCGGTCTACACGACACGAACCTACCGTACTGTGTGGGCGTGCCAGTGGATTCGCCTACCACCAGAGACCTGAAACCGCCCAGGCCCCTGCGCAACATTTCTCTCGCGGGTTCCCCCAGGAGGGGGAGGCGGGGAGGGAGGAGGCAGGAGGGAAGAGGGAGGATATAGAAAGACAACGTGCGGAAGGGTCGGGGGGTATGGCGGAGGGCGTGAGAGGAAGGGGCATGTCCTTTTCGAAAAGCCAGCGTCAGAAAGCAGTCTTTGGAATGGAAGTCTCAGAAGTGGCATGAACGAAAGAAGGCCTTGTGAACGCGGGTCCTGGTCCCCGGGCCTTCCCCAGGACGAGTACATACCCAGTCGTTTGTTGACGCTCCTGGGACCAGGCAGGGGCATGGGAGCCCGAAAACTGCGAAACTCCAGGACCCATCCCCTCCAGGACCCTTTCCTTCATGCATAGCACTCAAGCAGAAAGTACAGAGGCGCAAGACGCAAACCTGCAAAGCTCGCTTACGAAACAAGTGGAATATCGCAGGCCTAGAGATGGACACCAACACCAATGTCGGCGGTGTGCCTCCACCGGGGGAAGAAGATCCCGATCTCGGTGATGGTGGTAATATTCTGGCTTCCAAGGTGGCCGAACTATTACCACCAACACCGAAAATCTAGGATCATCTTCCCCCTGTGGAGGCAAGCCTCTGTCTTGGTGTTGGTGCCAATTTCCAGGCCTCCGAGAATGCGATGTGCACGCGCTCCTGAACAGGGCCTCACGCTGGCAGCACTCCGCGGCAGGCGCCGCAGACCGGAGCCAGCGGAGCGCCTAGCAAGCCTAGGCACCTCCCGCTCGCGAGCCCGGCGCCCCCCCCGCCCCGAAGACACCCGACGTCGTGATTTTCATTCGCGGCGTTGAAGGGGCCCTGGGGCACACAAATAGATACATACAAATAAAAGAATCCCCCATATTTTCCAATATTTTCTGGGCTTTTGTCTTCCCCCCCACTTCCCATATTTTCCCATATTTTCTGGGGAATCGACGATTAATTGTGTCTGTGTGTTTTTTCCCTCCCGAAACGTGACTCCCCAGAAGCCTGGATCCTTTCGAAATCTCCGACGATGTGATGTCTTCAGTCCGGGCGCCTTTCCTCGAGTCTGGCCTCCTGGGCACGCCATCGGGCCCCAGCACCATATCAAAAGGGATCCAGGGCGAAACACTGGCCCCAGGGAAGGAGTCGGGACCTCTTGGACCGCATAAAAAAAAAAAAAAAAAAAAAAAAAAAAAAAAAAAAAAAAAAAAAAAAAAAAAAAAAAAAAAAAAAAAAAAAAAAAAAAAAAAAAAAAAAAAATCACAACAACAACAACAACAACAACAACAACAACAACATCAACAACAACAACAACAACAACAACAACAACAACAACAACAACAACAACAACAACAACAGCAACAACAACATCAACAACATCAACATCAACAACAACAACAACAAAAAAATGTCGGTGCATGCCAGAGCTCCCGTGGATCACCTTTCCATCTTGAGTCATCCCGACGGCCCCGGACTCCCGGGTCCCAGCCAGGGCCCCTGGCAGGCCGTCGGTGGCCAGAGACCCTCCGCCGTGCTCTCGCTCCCTGCGCGAAGCTTCGGCGATGGACAAACCCTCCCTTTTAGTAAACCCCTTCGTGAAAACGGCCTGGGACCGAAACCGACGGACCTGGACCCGCAAAAATGACGGCCGCGACGCCCTCCCGCGAACCGAAAACGGCCGATTCCTCAATCGACGCGGCAGGGTACAGCCGGGGCGTTGACCTGAGGAACCCTAAAATAAGGAACGAGGCCCCTGATTTCCACAAGTCGAACTTCGATCTCCCATCGAAAACCTGAGGACAACCTGAAACAAGCTGTGATACTATCAGGGAACGCGGAGCCCCCCCCAACGAAAAGGGTTCCTTCTTCAGCGCCCCGCCTGCAGGAGGTCTGTCGATCTCCGAAAGCTGTCGGGGCCACGCTCGCGCGGGGAGCGCCGGGGGAGGTCTGCCCCGCGCCGCGGTCAGCGCGCCGCGCCCCGGGCCCGCGCCACTCGGGCGGCGCAGGCCGCCAGGCTCTGGGGCCGGCCCGGCCCGCGGCCGCGCACGGGCTGGCCCACGGTTGAGTCGGGCCTGTCCCCCTACAGGGTGATTTTGGGCGAAAAAATCATGCAGATACACATCTATATATATATGTGTATATATATATATATATACACAAATACATTGTTAGATTATATATATATATATATATATATGTATACGTGTGAAACAACAAAATCAAAAAAAAAAAAAATGAGAAAAACAACAAAAAAAAACAAAAAAAAAAAAAAAAAAAAAAAAAAAAAAATGGTAGTAATGATAATAATAAGAATAATCATCATAATAATAATAAACATAATAATAACAGTAGTAATAAATCCTCAAAAAAAAGGTCCCCAGACTATTTTTGGACTGTTTTTGAACTTTCCTCCTGTAAAGGGACAGGCCCGACTCAAGCCCACGGGGAGAGGATCGCGCTCAGGATGGCGCCGCATCAACAGTCTGCGAGGCGGGGACGTGTCCACATCCACCGCCCCTGAAACCGACGTCCTTGGACCCCAGCAAGCGGTGGGATGTGGACATGCTTGATCCACCGCAGGGCCCAACTGCATACATACATACATACATACATACATACATACATACATACATACATACATACATACA